GGACGGGGTAGGTGGGGCCGGCCTCTCCCAGGCACTCCACACGGCTGCAGGCCGGAAGACACACTCTCCTTCTAGGGCTTCCACCTGCTCACGGCATGGACGGCCATTGCTCTCAGGAAGCCCGGCCCCTGGCTCTGTCCCCTGCCTGCTCCTGCCTGGAGAGGTGTGGCAGTCCTCACTCAGCACCGAGGCTGGCCTGCCCGCCTCTCACGGTCCAGCGCGCCCAGTGCATTCACGCCCTCGGGCTTTGTGTTTGCTGCTCCCTTTACCTGGAACGCTTAGCTCCCAGGTCTTCTTTTAAAAAACTGCCAGAGGGTGCATATGCATGTCAGAGAGACAGAGACAGAGACAGAGACAGAGAAGCTCTTCTCCACTCTCCCATCCTCTCAGGATTTGGTTGACCCTGTGGGGTCTAGCTTCCTTAGCCACCAGGCCACAGGCTGGCCTGGGTTTTTCTCTTTCTGTTGTTCAGCTCTAATGTCACCTCCGCAGGGACTCTGTCCCACTGGATGGGTTACTTTCTTAAACTACCGTGGGCCTTTATTTGATGAAACGCCAACTCCACGAGGGCAGCGACTTGCTGGTAGACTCAGCACCAGGCCCTCAGGACCCGTGGCTATACCTCCTGCTCACTGTCTGTTGAGTTTGCTGCTGGCTGACCCTGGAAGGCTGCACCATCATGCTCACAGAAGCATGGCAGGGCCTCACTGAGTGAGCGCCAGGAACACAAGCCCTAGTGGAAGGCTGGGGGCCGGGAGACACATGGCCTTGAACAGAAGTGCCCCAGCCTGTGGAAGGGCCCTGGGTTCTAGTCCCAGATCTGTTTCCAAATAGCTGCATGGCTTCAGGCCAGTTGCGTGGTCATGCCTGGGAACTGAGCGGAGTGAGCCAGCTGCCCCTGACTTGGTTTATCTGGGCCAGTCCATGTGGCTTTGTAACACGGCCAGGGTGCAGTCCTGGCCCCGAGACGCCCCAGGGTCCACCAGGATGAGGCTCACAGCCTTGGCTGCAGGACAGCTTTGATTTGTTTCTGCTCTGAGAGTTGTTAGGCCTTAAGGATGTGAATTTGCTGGACATTGGCCAACCTTTAATTGGGCCGTAGGCCTCTGGTCATGACCCTAAGGGAGGGGAGGTGGAAAAGGGTGGGTGTGGCCCAGGGGAGGCCCGGATGCTGGTAATGAGTGTGCACGGGGCCCTGCCCATCCCGGAGCCGAGGAGCAGTCTGTGTGGTCCACACTGAGCTCTGAGACCCCATGGGGCTCCAGTGCCGACGCCCCTGCTGCCCTTACCATTGCCTTAGGAGCTGTAGAGCTCAAGTTGACTTCGTGACAGCCAGCGTGGCAGGGGGAGAGGTACTCCACGCCGTTGTCTCCGCAGACCGGGTGGAAGATGGGCTCTGGGCACGAGCAGTCCCTGCGGCAGGCGGGAGGCTGAGGACGTACAGAACTCGACGTGCTGCCAGCAAACAGGAAACAGGCAATCAGACAGAGCAAGAGCAAAGGAAGAGCTGACACTGGCCCGGCGCGGGTAATGGGCAATGGGTTGCCTGGCCTGGGTGACGGCCCCGCGCATCGCTCTTTGTCTTGGGCCAGTACCACTCTGGGAGCTGAGTTGTGCCGACTGGGGCCCATCGGGAACTTGCCACTGTTCAGTAGTCACAGGCTCTCTCTGTTTTCTCTGCCATTTGGAGACCAACCCACCAATTAGTCGTTGGAAAGGCCCAGTGGGCAAACCCTCTGCCACAGCAGGAGTCGAGACAGCCACCCAGACAGGGGTCCGAGGAGAGAGATGGGAGATGCATAGGAACATTGCCAGCAACGAGGGGTCTTCAAAAGATTCATAGGAGGAACCAGCAGATGGCTTAATGGTTACATTGCTGGACTCCTACGTAGTTGACTGTGAGTGGTTCAAGTCCCAGACCCGGTGACTTGAAACTCATGCTGGGTGCGTGTGCGTGTGTGTCCAAGATCCCAAGAGGAGAATGGAGGAGAAGGGATTGTGGTATGGCCATCCCCCCTGGGGGGTGATTTCTCGCTTTCTGTCTCTCTGTCTCTGCCTCTCTGGCAAGCATGCATGCCCTATAGAAAAAAATACCTCTCTAAAAAAATTCATAGAAAATGTGTCTTGTGGAAAAATAAAAGAAAGACTGCATGGGTTTCAAAATTTGGGGCACCAAGATAAACTCAGACTTTAATCCCATTTCCCACACGCTTTCTGGAGTCCTCTTGTATTTGCCTTCCGTCTTCTTCCAGCTGGGCTCAGGCTGGGGGCAGGGCAGGGACCGCTGAGGCAGTCTGGGCTCTACTTGGCCACCTGTCAGGTTGCACCATGCCCCCGAGCTTCAGGACAGGGACCCATACCTGATATTCATGATTTTCTCTGGGGAGAGTTAGGCTAGGGGCCAAAACCCCACCGTTCAGAGCTTCGCTAAAATAATTATAATGACAGTTAACATTTACGGGGCATCTCTTACGGGTACGCACTGCCCACGGGCTTTTCATGCATAGTCAGCACAATCAGCCTCTCAATAATTATTTGCCTTTTGCAGAGGGGAAAACTGAAGCCTAGATAGGTTAAGGCATTTCACCCCACCAGTAAAGAGCACCAAGACCAGATCCAGGCCCGCCCGACGGCAAAGCAGCGTGCTAAACTCTCCACGAACGCCACCAAGGGCCCAAAGTCTCGCTGGCTCCTTTAATCCGCAGGCGGCCTGCAGACCAGTATATGCTGGGGGCGCACCCGCCCTGAGCGACACCCCACCTGTGCACCCCTTCTCTTCTCCACCTACCAAAGACGGATATAGAAAAAGACGAGTAGAGAAAATACTGAGGCTGAAAGGTGCGGCACCCTCCAAATGTCGCGCCCCCACTAGGCCAAGGCAACCAGAGCGGGTGGCTGTGGAGAGGCCGAGGAAGGGATGGAAACCCCCCGCGCGCACCCTTCCCTGCCGGGCTCTCAGTGAAGCCAGGCCTCAGACGTGTGGCCACGCTGCTTGAGGTAAACCGATGGGTGCACTTTGCCCGCCCTCCTCCTCAGCTGCCCCAGTTTTTCAAGTCTGCCATCACTTTTGTTGTTCTTTTCCAGATCTTTCCAAGTCTCCTCTCGTCTTGCTCGAACAGCTCACCGAAACTCTAGTTCCAGCTGGCGCAGAGCTCATGCTAAACATAGCTTATTTCTCCTAGCCACAGGAACAGCCCTACAGAGTAATCTAAAACCAAACCAATTAGTCTGTGGTGCTTCTTTACAGACAGAGCCCTAGGCCAGCTGCGGGCCTGGTGGTTAAGGTGGCTGGATCCCAGGTGGCCAACTGTGCAGTCTGAGTCTCCCCACCTGGCAGCGTGAGACACACACCAGGTACAGGGGCACGTGCATGTGTGCCCCAGCATCTCTGAAAGAGAGTCCGGGAAGGAACTGTGGCTTGGCCATCCCCCCCGGGGGTGCATCACGGCTTCCGCCCACCCCCCATCTCTCTAGAAAGAGCAATTAAAAAAAGATTAAACAACAGAGCCCAACCTTGCTTGCTGGTGGCCCCTAGGACCCGCTAATCTCCTCTTCAATGGCACAGTGTTCTAGACCTGTGGTTCTAGGGTGCTACACGAGCGATGAAACAAAGCGAAAGGAGAGAGTAAAGGCGGGAGGGAAGGTGAGCGGTCCAACCCCGGCCCTGGCCTCAGCAGAGGGCAGCTCCACACCCCTGCTCCCACTACCTGGGAGGGTAGACCTCAGCCACGGTTGGGGTGGAACAGCCCATGAAGAAGAGGGGGGCACAGAGGATCATAGAGATGGTCATGATGGTGGCAGCCACGCGGGGGATGGTTTGCAGAGAGAAGACAAAACGCTTCATGAGGATTCCTCCAAACAGCATCCCCAAGGCCGCAGCAGGGAGGTTTACGGCACCTAGGGGTGGAGAGAAGGAGTTGGGTCTGGGTCTGGGTCGGGCCGGCGGGAGCGTGTGGGGGGTGCCAACAGCGAACTGAACCCCACTGAGAAGGGAGCAGGTCTTCAGGGAGGGACATTTGGCAGTCCCACTGTAACAGTGCTAGCTGACATTAGCTGGGCGTTTGCTGTTCGTCATGCAAGAGCACCATCTTGACAGGAAGGACCGCTCCGCCTGTGAATGAAGAAGCCGGCCCTGGTGGCCTGAGGGTGTGGGCTGACCGAAGCACCCTTCCCTGCCTGGGCCTCTGTTACAACCTCACTGTGACCACGTGGGGTGAGCAAGGTGAGGGTGACAACCCATGGACCACTCAGAGACCCAAGTCCTGTGTGGCGAAGTCACAGCAGGGCCACGCAGGAGGCCGGGGTTGCAGGGAGTCACCTTGAGTCTCATGCCCTGACCACCTCGCCAATCCAGATGGCCAAGTGACCTGAGGGGTGGGTGAAGCATTCACTTGGGTATTCAGAAGTCCTCAACACTGGCTACCAGGAAGTGAGGTGTTGGGCCCTGCTGGCAGAGATTCGGGGGCTGGGGGGTGCTGGCCCCGGTGTTGCATAAAGCTCTCCAGAGAGGCCTGGAGTGCAGCCGGGGCTGGGACGTACTGGACCGCATAGTCTCTTATTGAAACCACCACTCAAGCCCACGGAAACACGGGGAGACTCTCGGGAGGAAATTCGTTCACCCCCTAGCTCCTACCCCTCACCTCTGTCACCCTGATGAAGTCAGGGCCTTTGGGAGGCTGCCAGACTTCCAGCCCTTGAAGGGAGGAAGGCAGCCCCCAGCCTCCACCCACCCCTGACTGGAATGATAGGAGTCCCTGAGACCTGCCAAGAACATTCTAGATTGCCAACCAGGAAAAATGTCCTTAAAATTCTTTCTCCTGAGCAAGTCCTCCTCTGGCTCCTGCCTATGTCCGGCCTGGCCAGCCCAGTTCCTGGCTGGCTGGAGTCCTCACGGCTGCC